GAAATCTTTCCTCTTTCTTTTCCATTCTACTGTTTCTTCTTTTTTTCCCTTAAATCTAGTAAATGTGAGGAGAATAAATCTGACTCAAAATTCCTACCTTTATCTACAACTCTAGATACCTGGATGGCTTTCACCCAGCCATCATCTTGTCTGCTACCTACTGCACTGCAGTATGAAATATGGAGAGGATAAGTCAGCTCCTCAAAGGAAAGCTTCGGTGTTTTGGATTGTAAATATATTTGCACTTGTAGTATGATGGTCTCATGCTTTCTGTGGCTATTTCAGGGCTGTGATTGTAAATTGTTTTTTTCCAGGTTTTTGTTTTGGCCTCTGAATTACCACATGATGTTTTTTGGTAGGTAAAGAAATGAGCTTGTCTCCATTTTAACGCTCTGGGTTAGCTTCATATTAATCCCAGTTTCCTGTGAGACATGGTATGGCCTAGAAACCCATTTAGTTACAGCTCCCCATTGGAGAATGTTGGAGGCAGGCTGTTTGTACCAACGAGGGTTAAGGTATTTTCAGTAATGTAAGAAGAATAGAGAGGTATTTTCTTTAGTATGTAATTAATATTTAAAAGTGAAAGTGAGTTCAGAAAACTATATGTAAAAATGAAAAAGAAGCAACCTCATGAAAAAACAAACAAGAAAAGCCCCCATGAGGATGGAATGGAGGTAAAGATGGGTAGGCTATGGGAACAGTGATTGAGATCCAGGCTGTGTCCTTGCTCTGCAAGGACAGGACTGTTATATAGCTGTGCACTTCTTTTTCTGTGTGATGTAAACCTGAGGCTTGAAACGGTAGAGGAAGTAAAGACATTTGCTGCCTCCCAACTTTAGCCTGAGTACATAACTGCTTCCTTTTTGACTCATCACTTAATGTAACCTCCCTTTGCTATAACTGAGCTTTAGTAATGTGCTGTAAGCTTTGGAGTAAGGAGTCCTCACCAGGAAAAGCCTATATTCTTAGCAAACCGTCAGCCTTCAGCAATTGAGTGAGTTTCTTCATTAATTCATGACAAATTCTTGGCATTTGCCATTTTAAATAAAAGCAAGACCAAAAACGGTGTTATTCTAGTGTTTGGAGAGTAGCAAGCATCTTTCTGTTACATTCTCTTAATCCTGCCAGGAAAATTGATGGTGACAGGTCACTTTCTGTAATTCCATTGATTCGTGCAGAATGTATACTGCTAGGGAAATCTCTTTAGGAGCTTAATTGTGACTGAAATAGGAATTAAGGAATACTCTCAAGATTCCCTGTAATTCTTTTCCCTTGATTTAGGAACAGAGTGCTTACTCATTGCTTCATTCTAGAGGCAATTTCAGATAAATGCGTGTATAAAATGTGTGGGATGTGGGTTTCAAGATAGAAGATTTTACATGACGATTGAATGTGGTTTTGAGCAAGTAGTAAAGGCATCTTTTTTTTTTTTCAGTAATTCATTCCACACTTATTTACTTGATGTTTACTAAGTGACAGGTACTATGCCTGGGTGCTAGGAAGGGGTATTGGCTTCCATGAAACAGTTTGAGGTCAGATTTCTGTCTTAGATGGCTGTAACAGAACCCAGGCCAGCTCCGGCTCATCTACTTGATATTAATTATTATTATTTCACTCCCTGTCTCCAGGAGACAGTGCTGGCTTCCCTTTTGTTTATAACTGTCAAGTGTGAGTCATCCCTTAGCTATGAGTATTGCAGAATCACAAAACACATTCCATTCTAATTTATGCTGTTGCCAGGGTCTCAGCCTGTTCTTGCTTGTCTTCTGACAGTCATGATAGAACAGTGAGACCAGCTGCACAAGTGCATTAACTGGGAAGGAAGCACGGGACCTTTTTTCTGTCCAGTTTGGTTCAGTACAAGATAGGTTTAGGAGTATCTGGGTATGATGATCGAAGCTTGTAATACTAGCACTTGGGAGGTGGAGACAGGAGGATTACAAGTTTGAGACAGCATGGGCTACATAGTGAGACCCTGTCTCAAACAAAACAAAAAAGATACATTTAGGAGTATACAGCTTTTTTTTCCTAGGTAGGCATTAGAAAACCATTCACCCATTTTTTTCTTTTAATGAGTTTATACCTATGAGCAAATAAAGTCAACTGGTCTCTTTAAAGAGTATTGGTCTTACAAATGGATTTGGCAGCTATGGCTGATGGTTCAGTTGCACACACACAATGGTCCTTGAAGGAAAACCTGAACATTTATTTTAGAATTTTAAGAAAACCCATCAAATAAACAAACAAGCAAAAATTCTTCCTGAAAATTTTCTAAATAATACTTACCTTGATTTTGAATATTTGGACTTCATAGTAATATTAATTGATTATGTCTTTTTAAAAATGTGTATGTTTAAGGAGGCTTTTGCAGTTTAAACAAATTCTCCTTATAATTCTCTACCTAGTATAGTTTTTCATTTCTTGAGATTGTTTTTAGTCTTTATCTCATCATTCTATATGATTATGATACTGATATTTAGGCATTGTATATTTCATTCTAAACCCTTAAATTTCTTATACCAACTTTTGAAAATACCTCCCTGAAGTGACTCACACTCCAGAATGTGTGACTCAGGGTAGTGGAAGGGGTGAGAGTCAGACTAGTTTTCCAACCAGAACACATTCCCTGCAATTTGAGGCACAGATGAAACAGCAAATTCCTCTGGCCTGGGCTTGAGTGAGGAGTAGGTGGATTTATGCAGTGTTTGCTCAAATTACAAATGGGGAGATGCTAAAAGCACTTTAACTTTATCTAAGTTCAAAGTGGCCAGCCAAATGAACATCATGTGACCTACCTGAACATAAAGCTTAGTGCTTTATTAGAAAGAAGGTGAGACCTTTTTTCTTTGCTGGGAATGGGAAAAATAAAGAACAAAACAAAGAACTATTCATTGACAAACAAGTGTCAGTGTTAGTAGAAAACAAATACTATATATAATTGGCCAGCATCTTCTCCTTCCTCCCTCCATTTATTTATTTATTTTTTATTTATTTATTCATTCATTCATTCGAGACAGGACCTTATATAGCCCAGGCTGGCCCTGAACTCAGTCCTCCTGCCTCAGCCTCCCGAGTGCTGGGATAATAGGTGTGTGCCACCCCACCTGGCTCTGACTCTTTCTTATCCCTTTTGATCCTTCTTATCAAAAGGACAAGGTGTCAGGTTTTTATTTTTTAAAATCTTTTATGAAAAATACATGCTTCACAGCCAAGCATGATGGCACATACCTGTAACCCAGCTACTTGGGAAGTGGAAGCAGGAACATCTTGAGTTCAAGGCCAGCCCAGACAAAGGTAGTGGCAAGACCTTACCTGAAAAACAAATAAAAATAAAAGGACTGGGTCCATAGCTCAAGTGGTAAGAGCACTTGCTTAGTATGTGCAAGGCCGAGTTCAGTCCCTAGCACCACAAACAGACAAACAAGATCCTTCTCAAATAAGGTAAGAAGTAAAAGCAGATGTTAAGAAAGAAAATAAGCAAATTGCATATCTTTTAAGTTCAAATAAATATCCAGTTTGACTATTGTTAAGGACTTTTATAACTCTCTAAGGTACACTCAAGTGCTATGAAGGGTTAGGTTTGAGTTTGCAGACCTCTGAATATAGCATGATTTGTGTACCCATACTAGTGATGTAGGCATTGAGTCCCAGTCACACCTTTGTGTAGAAAATTTCAGAGCTACAAGGAGCAGCGTATGCATTGGATAGAAATAGTGTTCTTAAGTGCCTTTACATTTCTCAGGAAAGAAGTAGAAAACAAAAGCAGAAAAGATAGGCTTAAAAAAAAAAAGGACCTGTATATTTCTAAACCAAAGATCACTCTGGAAACTTATTTTAGAAACTTGGGAGTATCAGGATTGGTACAGTTGAATGTAACAGATCATCACAAAAACATGAGCTTAAACAAGACAAGTTAATTTTTCCCTCTCATGTAAAAGAAATCTGCAGGTAGGCAGTTGAGAACTGGTGTGACAGCACCGAGATTGGCAGGGACCTACGCTTCCTTCTTTTTTTTTTGCTTCATCATCCTTAGTGCTGACTGCCTCCTTCAGGTTTTTGCCTAGATTTTCTGCTGGACATTGCTTCTCTGGCTGTCACATCTTGCTCCAGGTGGGAAGATGGGCAAGGCTAAAGAGTGTGCTTCCTGGTAGAAACCCCACACTCCAAGAGCTTTCCTGGAAGCCCCGCCCTATCTGTAAAGGGATTGCCTTCTCCAAAATAGAAAGGCCAAACATTGGCAAGGCCATACCAAGTGATCATATTCTGAAAGGCATTAATCAAGATCTAGGTGGCCAACTTGGAGATGCCTGCAAAGGCTTAGCCTAGGACAAACAATAAAATTTAGTGAACTTGGCTGTTAGTTGGTAGCATGATTGGTTGGTTCAGCAATACTGTGGACATACTTGTGCTAGGCCTTAGAGGTATTATACACACAAAAAAAAAAAAAAAAAGAAAGAAAGAAATTTACAAATCTGTTGAACATGGATGGAGGAAGTAAAGACTGTCTGGGATTGTGTAATAAAGGTTAAAGGATATGAGATGACAATGCATCAAAATTGTAAAGGATGCTTGTTAATGAGTTAGCTGGATTAGAAAGTGGGGATGAGGGTGTGAGAGGAGGGCAAGAAGGGGAGGAATGTTCTAGGCAGACTCACTTCTAGTCTGATAACTTTCATTATTTGTCTTATTTCTCTGAGAGATCATGGGAATTTCCAAGCAACAAAGGAAGGCAGGGACTAAATATTCTTTTTCATCTGAAGTGGCTAGAGGAACTACCTTCATTCTACTTATTCACTTTTTCACTCTCTCTAGATGAGTGCCTACATTTATGGGCTGCAAAGCAAGTGTTGGTAGCTAAGAAAGGAGGTGGACAAATGATTGGGGTGCACTGAAGTCCAATTGCTCCCACATACATTTGGATTTTGGTCTCTGTGGGACTTTGGGGGGGCAAGGATTGATTATGACCCTGGGATGCTGATATGATTCCCTTCCCTTTCCAGGAAGTGGACATTGTGGTGGCACCATGCCAAGGCCTCCGACCTGCAGTGGATGTTTTGAGTGACTTGGCGAATGATTTCTTGCCTGTGATAATCTATGCACTCCACAAAGGTGAACTGTCTGAGAGGGATGAGCAAGAGCTTCAGGAAATCCGGAAGTATTTCTCCTTCCCCATGTTCTTCTTCAAAGTGTCAAAGCTGGAGATAATAGACTCCTCCACCAGGAGAACAGAGAGTGAAAGGTCACCACTGTATCGCCAACTGAGTGACCTGGGCTATCTGAGCAGCAATCTCTGGAACTGTGGGGCTCCTGGCCAGGACACTAAAGCTCAGAGCATGTTGGTGGACCAAAGTGAGAAGCTTAGACACTTGAGCACATTTTCTCACCAGCTGCTACAGACTCGCCTAGTGGATGCAGCCAAGGCCCTGAACCTGGTGCACTGCCACTGCCTGGACATCTTTATTAACCAGGCCTTTGACATGCAGCGGGACCTGCAGATTACTCCCAAACGTCTAGAATATACTCGAAAAAAGGAGAATGAGTTGTATGAGTCACTGATGAATATAGCTAATCGAAAGCAGGAGGAAATGAAAGATATGATTGTTGAGACACTTAACACCATGAAAGAGGAACTTCTGGATGATGCTACCAATATGGAGTTTAAAGGTAGGTCCCAGAGAGTTTGGTGAGGTGCTGGGACTACAGGAGCCTCCAGCTTCTCTAGCTGGAAAATGAGTACATTAATTCTTAAGGTTCTGCAGGTACCCACCTAAATGATTTAGCCAAGATGGCTCTCTTGCTCTAAGGACCTTCCTGGAAGAGTCATGTCAATCCTTCCCGGACCATTAGCCTAGCTTTTGGTAATTCATCCTAATAACTTTCTAATCTCCACTCTCTAGCTATATCCCTTGACCCTAATGGAGCCGAAGAAAGCTGCTTGAAGAGTTTCACTATGTCATCTGTATCAGCTTGGCCCAGGCTTCTTCACTGTTCTTTTTGTCTCATGGTCTCATTTTCTTTTTCAGACCTGCTCTGAAACACAAGTCAGGAGGATTTCCCAAAGTAGTGGTTTTTTAGCCTTTCGGTAGTATCATTCTTCACAAATGGCTATTAACAAAATTGGGCAAAGTGATTAGTCAGGTCTTTTGATGTCTGAGATTTAGATGCTGCTGACTATATACTGACTACTATATAAACTTCATGCATGAAATTAAATTTATTACCTTATTAATTACAGTGACATGGTTTGCCAAGTTACTCTTTAGAGCCTCATTGTGAGTACACATTCAATTGCCTGAGAGTTTCTAAAAATATTGGTGCTCAGGACCACTAAAGACCACTGACATGGGACCTAATGTCTGTTTTCAGAATCCTCCCTAGATAGATTCTGCTTATTTCCATATTTTAAATGAAAGAACTAAGGCTTAAAAGGGTTAAGTAATTTTCCCAAGGTTCTATAGTTAGTAAGTAGTAGAGATGGGAATTATTTTAAGACAGTCCTGATTCCTGAACCTGTACTTCTAATTTTCATGCCTTATAGCTTCTTAATCTGTACCCAGTTCTGAATACAACCTTCTGCCTGGTACCCAGCTTCAAAAACTTGAACATATCTTTAATTTTTCTTCTTTTCCAGGCCCCATGTCCTAGCCCATTGCCAAATATGGATGCATCTTTCCATATTTTATATCCATCTATGCTTTTTTTATTCTGTCTTCTTCCGTCCTAACTGTTGTTACCTAATCATTCCTCCCTAACTTCTTTCTCTGCTTTATCTTTATTGGCTCCCTCTCCTAGAAACTAAAGTTTTGAACTCTCTCAGCTGAGTAATAAAGATCTTCCAAAGCCTAATTCTTAACCAACTTTACCAATTGTACTTCCCACTGTTCACCTTCCCTGTAATCTTTATTTGGTTGGTTTTAACTGTTTTGCTGCCCTCTACACACCCCTTCCCCTTTTCTTTGCTAGTACTCTCCTTGCAGCCAGAATATCTTTTATTTTTCTATGAATCTCCAAATCTTACCTATCCTTCAACAACCTTCATCAAATGCCATTTTTCACAAAGTCATCTTTAATTTTCTTTCACTACTAAACAATTGCACTCATCTGAACTCCATAGCATTTCAATCTGTAACTTTTTATTCCTGGCATATTTCACATTCTATTTTATTATAGTTATATATGTTCATCTGACTATTTTCTAAAATCGTGGGGTTGAAGGAGAGTACAATCTGGGGATTACTCATCATCAAATCCTTTGCAGTGTTTTTTTGGTTTTTTTTTTTTTTTTTGAATGGTGGGGAATTATACCCAGGGCCTCATGCAAACTAGGCATGTGCCCTTTTCCACTGAGCTCCACCCACAGCCCCAACAGACTCTTGAATACAGTGCATCTTTGGAGAATGAATGAGTTTGTGAACAATGGTATCTAGCGTGTGAATACAAAGGAAATATAGCTGACTTCAGCAAGGATAGGGTGCTTGATTTCTTAAAAGTCTTTTACAGATGAAAAAAGATACATCTTTAGTGAATTCCCCATACAGGGAGGATTGACTGAGAAATGCTCACTTGCAGTGGAAAATCCTAAGAAGTGCTCTCAATATCTAATTAA